GGGGCTGGTGCGGGATCGGGCAGTGTTTCGTTCTGCTGTGCATGGGGTCGCTATGAGTCGGAAACGACTCGACGGCACTTAACAACAACAACAACAACCATAAGTGTGTAAGGAGCTCTGGTAGCAAAGTGCCCAAGGCACTTGACTGCTAACCAGAAGGCTGGCGATTCAAACCCACCAGCCCCTCTTCGGAAAGAAGGTTGGGCAATCTACTTCTGTAGTGATACCACCTTGGAAACCCAAGGAGGGGTCACTATGAGTTGGGTCTGACTCGATGGCACATAACAACAACAAACAACCATATGTGTAAAGAGCTCTAGTGGAGTAGGGGATAAGGCATTTGCCTACTAACCAGAAGGCCAGTGGTTCAAACCCACCAGCTGCTCTTTGGAAGGATGATAGGACAATCTACTTCTGTAAAGATTTACAGCCTCGGAAACCCAATGGGGGTTGGTATGAGTCCGATTCAACTCAATGGCAGTGAGTTTGGTTTTTGGTTTACCATAAATGTAGGTCTGTGTCATTTTTTGGCTAGTATAAAAAAAAAAAAAAACCAGAAATGCTGATGTTCTTTCCAGTTCTAAACACTAGGCCACCCTGCACCCCATTAAATTAGTATCAAAAATGCATTGCTGTTTCTATTAAAAGATGTTGCTATGTATCTCCTTGGGTAGGACATGGTTTAAAGTAACTTTTTTCCAGATCTGTTTACATATATTGACTCAACATTGTAGCTGGCAAACAGACTGAGTTAAGACAGTCCAGAACAGTGGAACAAAGCAACGCTAATTAGCCCATTTGGGGATTAAATTCTTAACTTCTTTAGCACCTTGCTTTAACCAACTAAGATAATCAAAACTTACTGACAAGCAGGTACATTCAATGATCCCTCATTTTCTTCCTTGTAAAATTCTATCATATGGTCTATTTCTACCTAAACCCTTCAGAAATGGGTTAATACTGAAGCTTTCAACAGTCTTAATGATCCAAATTAGCTTTCTGTGACTTTTCAACCTGATGAACTTTCTGATCACAGAATATGCAACTCGATTTCTTGGGTGAACCAACCCTGTTGTTGTGTTATGCCATTGAGGCAATCTGACTCCTGGTGACTCTATAGGACAGAGTAGAACTGCCCCATAGGGTTTCCTATCCTGTAATCTTTCCTGGAGCAGATCACCAGGCCTTTTCTTCTGAGGAGTGGCTGGTAGGTTCAAATTGCCAACCTTCATTTAGCAGCCAAACACTTAACCATTGTACTACCAGACATCCTTTAACTAACCCTAGAGGTTAAAAGGGAGCTCTGGTAGTGCAGTGCCTAAGGCACTTGACTGCTAACCAGAAGGCTGGTGGTTCAAATCCACCAGCCACTCCTCAGAAGGAAGATGGGGCAATCTACTTCCGTAGTGATACTGTCTCGGAAACCCAAGGAGGGGTTGCTATGTGTTGGGTCCGACTTGACGATACATAACAACAACAACAAGGAGGTTAATAAAGAAAATGTTCTGTTTCTCAGAGTTCCTATGACCATAGATTTTCACCTATCAGTTCAGACGATAGGGTTGCAACCATTGTACAGAAAAAGTAGGAGTCTTGCATGTTATGCATGAGCTTCTTTTGCTGTAAGTGACTAACATCTGTGTGACACTCTGAAGTGAAGGTTAAGGTTTCTGTTCCATGGAAAGAGCCAAGTTCATGGGCTCAATCTTGGTATAAGGCAGTTGGTTGTACTACTGACAAATAGACCATCTAGCCCTAGCCAGTTTCTCATAAACATGTCACAGGAAATTGTGGAGATAGTGATTGTATGGGCTGGAATGATGACACCAGGGCAGAAGTTCACAGGTTATCCTAAGTGATACATTCATACTTTTGCCATGGAGATCTGTTTAACTTAAATTTTAATTCAGTTATATGGTCAATAATTTAGTATGCCATTTTTGTACCTATAGTTTAGAAATTTTCATGAAATAATGATCATCTCAGTAGCTTAAACATTTTAAAATATTAACATGTAAAATATTAACATGTAAAAATATTTTATTGTAAATCAATACTATAATTGTCAGCTTACATTTAGCTTCTGTTTTATAAAGTAGGCTACTTCATAGAGAATATGTTTTATTAATTGACCACAAGAACATTTAAATTAGCTTTGAATGGTCATTTTGTTTTTACTCCTAGGTACTTACTATGGGAGGACGACTTTGTAGAAAGGACATCATCCAACTAATAGCAAATTTTGTTGATCCCAATCCAAGATTTCCCTAAAAGACTCAAGGAAATAAGTTATATTCATGAAGTTCAAGCTATATCCAATAAGGTACTCATTCTCAAGTACATTTTTATTCTGATTAATCAAATCTTTAATATAAGTATTTTGAGTGTTTTAAGAATAAAGGTAACATCCTGTAAGTTTGTTTTAGAGACCAGTGCTAATCTAAGAATTTGTGGTGTATTATTAATAATTTACTATATAATCATATGATATACATATAATAATATATAATAATCATACAATGTATATAAATAAATATATATTGTACCTGCTGAAAGGCAAGAAGTATCTCATACAAAAGTGCTGTAGCTGTATCTGTATATTCCAAGATAAGCTTCTGTAACTAGAATTTTAAAGAATAATCAATGCAATATCAGAGACAGTGCCAGAATATGGTCATTCCTCTTGGTGCTCTTTAGGCACTTATAAATGAATATTTAACTGACTAAAAATATAATTAGTGTGGACAATCTTCCTGTCCACTTGATTCAATCATTCTCAAGAAAGTGGCTTTCATGAAAAGACTAAATATTTAATATTGGCCAAGGTAGTGGGTTGACGAAAGAAGATATAATGGCCCACAGAATACTAACACAAAAAAATTGTATACCCGATTTGCTAAATCAATCAGATAAACAATCCTACTTTGTGTAAACTATGGAGAAATATGCTTTCTCTATAACTAAGGTGGTAAAAAATGTTCCCTTTCTACTCACCTACGATTCTTTGAGGGAAATTAGACTCTCCCCAAGTTCAACTAAAAATCTTTCTCTAGTGTGGGTAAATATAGGGCTTAGAGAAATTCCATTGCTTTTAAGAACTCCCCAAAAAGTTAATGAGGCTGTCTTCTGACCCATAAACCACATGGGGCATTTATGTCATCTGTTGGCATGCTGCAGACCAACACATATTCCCTAACAGTAGTCTTTGCAAGGAAGAGCTCTAGTTTGAAATTGCCCACTCTGTTTGGCCTCGGAACCAAAACTTTGAACAAATTCAAAACCAGCTTGTTATTTTTCCTCTCTTCTTTCTGCAGTTCTCATCTTGACTCCCAGGCCAGAATCTAAAAGTCACCTAATCTTCACTATTCTTTATCTTTGCATCAATCTATCAACTCAACTTCCTAAAAATTTCTGGAATCTATCCTCTTTACAACTGCCATCCTTATTTTTCTTTTCTTCATTTATTTATTCTAAAAATATGCATCAGACACTGGTTTGTGTACCAGGGATACAATGGAGAGCAACACAGACATGGTCCTGCTCTCATGGAATATACAATCTAGTTGAAGAATAGACATCAATCTAATATTCAAGTAAATATATTTGTAATACAAACTGAAACAAAGACTGTGAATGAAAAGCACAGGAAGTTAGGAGACCTCTGAAAAGAAGGCCTAGTCTCATCTGGAGGTCAAGGAAGGTTTCCTTCTGGACTGTATCATCTCTCACTTGGACTACTACACTAGCTTCTTAACAGCTCTGCCTATCTGAGCTTTTCTTCTATCTGATTCTTTCATTTCTAATCTACTTGCTCTATTATTGAAATTATTATCATAGAAGTTCCATATAGTCTTTAATTATATGTTCATTGGTGTAGTTGATTAATGGCTCTCTCTTCCACCAGACCATAAATTAATGAAGGCATTAATTTATATACCATTTATATACCATTTTTACCCCACTGCATATTATACTATTTAGCTTATATAGATGCTCAGTAAATATTTAGTTAGTAAATTTAAGAGCTTTCTAAAACATAATGCTAATGATATGTTCAAGAACTTATCAAATCATGTCATATCCTTTAAAAAAAAATTCTATATTGACCTCACTCAAAATGAACCAACAAACTGATTTATTCTTCCAAAATAAGCACTTTCTAGGCAGCCTGATATTTCTATTTTTGACACAAATTTATATATATATACATATATATATATATATATATATATATATATATATATATATATACACACATATATATATATCGCACCAAGAGTTTGTACTGCTCAGGCAGGCTGAGATGAATGGCTTCCAAAGGTCAACTAAGGTATGAGAGTTAACCCCAAAATTTCTACAGACAGTGCTTTTGTACCGAGAGAAACTCGTATATGTAAAATTACATGCATCCTTTTTTTTTTTAAATTGCTGTCGATTGGATCTGACTCATAGCGACCCCTCTTTGGGTTTCCCAGGCAGTATCACTACAGACGTAGATTGCCCAACATTCCTTCCAAGGAGTGGCTGATGGGTTTGAACGACCAGCCTTCTGGTTAGTAGTCAAGTGCCTTAGGCACTACGCTACCAGAGCTGTTCCCAACAACATGCATCATAATTATATATAAATAATTACGTATACAGAGATAAACTTTTATCAAATTTATACAGAATGCTAAATACTTTTAATATATACAGTATGCCTTAAAACATAAAATGAATATATAAATATTGACAGAATAGTTATTTAAGTTTTGAGGCCAATGACAAAACACATACTCTTTGATTTAGTGTAGAATACTTCTATATTCTACAATTTTACAATACTTCTATCTTCTCCAATGCCATGACACACATTAAAAGACAGGAAGCCAGGGCTCCTATAGATTATATTTAGTCTACCTCAAAAATGCTCAACTCACCTCAGCATCAAACGACATCTCAACTAAAGTTGAATCGGCCACCAACTGGATATCAAATACAGGACAGGATTTTGGAATCTGAGGTTCACTAATTAAAATTACCAAAAGATTAAATAGTATTCCCCTGAAAAATAAATAAAAGCAATTAATAAGTAAATTTTTGGAAGGAAAAGCTGTGAAGCCAACTTTGCAGACATTGAGTATCATTGTACTTAAATATCCTAAGCATCACAGACCATTCTTGACTAAATTTTTGAATCTTTGAACATGCAGGTTAATGTCTAGTGGTGTTGTTGTTGTTATGTGCCATCGAGTCGGACCCGACTCATAGTGACACCTCCTTGGGTTTCCGAGGTGGTATCACTACGGAAGTAGATTACCCCATCTTCCTTCTGAGGGTGGCTGGTGGGTTTGAACTGCCAGCCTTCTGGTTAGCAGTCAAGTGCCTTAGGCACTGATGCTACCAGAGCTCCCATGTCTAGTGATAAGACATTTAAATTAAAGTAAAAGAGTTTCTTGATCTTTTGATTCAAAGTAAATTTAATTCTAAAAGAAATAAGGGGAGTCACATAGCTTGGAAATCTTAGAAAATAAAATCTGGATTTAAAGGGCTTTGGGTGATTTCAATTATAGCAGTTTTTTTCCAAAGGGCTTTTCATATATTACTAATGTCTAGCAATATTATGGTCAAAATGGTTTCTGTGCTCAAAGTCCACCAGAAATCTTTACTACAGGACTTCTCAGAGGCTTTAACAATATACACTGTGTATTACCACAAGAAAGATACAGTATGTAGCATTTCTTAAAATGCTTATTTGATCACAAGCTTATTTGACACCAGAACCCTTTTTTAACAGGGCATTCCAGGGGCTTATGTTCCACTAAACACGGCTAAATCCAAACCAAACCCACTGCCATTGATGCTAACTCATAGCAACCTTATAAGACAGAGTAGAACTGCCTCATAAGGTTTCCAAGGCTATCATCTTTATGGAAGCTGATGGCCTCGTCTTTCTCCCACAGAGCAGCTAGTGGGTTCAGTTCTGCCAACCTTTAGGTGAGCAGCCAAATGCTTTAACCACTACGTCACCAGGGCTCCTGAACACCATTAGTTACTAATTAATAAAGCGAGTATTAACCTTAGATCTTTGCTTTCAAAGGCTAGGTATTGACTATAAACCCATGCTAACAACTCACTTAAATGTTACCACGTTTGAATAATATATCCTATTATTTAAGGTTACAAACAAAAAAAGAAAAACACAATTCAAAATGTGCATCCAAAGGAACTAGGATAATAAATAATAACACCACCTTCATAATTAAGCACATTTGGCAGAAGAGGAGTTGAAGGCAGCCACTAGAAAAATCATTTGCCTGAATTAGAGACAACATCAGAGTAGCTTTGGTGGGTAGGAATACCAAAAGAATTTACAAACAGGACTATATAAAAATTCTCTATAGTCATAAGCATTCCTTTCGTGATGGCATAAAGGAGACTATAAACAATTCTTTTTCAGTAATATTATTTGAGGCCTACTCTTTTTCATGGGAGCTCTGGTAGCATAGTGCCTAAAGTACTTGACTGCTAACCAGAAGGCTGGTGGTTCAAACCCACAGCCACTCCTCAGAAGGAAGATGGGACAATCTACTTCCATAGTGATACTGCCTCGGAAACCCAAGGAGGGGTCGCTATGAGTTGGGTCCAACTTGACGGCACATAACAACACTCTTTTTCATAATCATTTTAATCTTTATCATACTTATGAGGTCATGATTAACCAAAATCCAAATAAAAATACAATCCCCCTTCTTTCTCCAACACAAAAAGCAAACCTAGTTCTCAGATACGGAAAAGAACAATGTCAACTAGTGCATTTCTCAAAAAAAAAGCAGGATATGTCCTACAGGATATCTGTTAATGTTTTATTGAGGCTCTTTTTAAATGATCAGTATAACTTTTAGAAGACCCTTCCAAAATCAGTAGAACCTTCCATTTAGAAGCTTTTCCTGATATTAGCTTTGAAGTGACATTCCATTCACTGTTATATTTACTTATAGTCCTTTGTTTTCAGTAACAACTTCTTTTCAAAATACCATATGATGGCTAAGGAAAAGAATTCTTAAATTCTGGGTCACTTACTCTGATAGTATGTGAATTTAACCATGACAATCCTAAAATATGAAAGGATTAAAGGCACATATCAAGAAGAACAAAGCTAAGTGTGTTGAGCTAATGAAGTTTTCACTAATGAAAATAATAAAGAGGAAATTTTTTTTTCATTTTTAAATGGAATTTAATGTGAAATCCACTGCTTCCACCAACTTACTTAATTTAAAATCCACTAAATTTATATTAGGAGCTCTAGTGGCACAGTGGTTAAAGCATTCAGCTTTTAAACGAAAGGTTGGCAGTTTGACCCACCAGCTGTTCTGTGGAAGAAAGATAAGGCAGTCTGCTTCCATAAAGATTTACAACGTTGTTGGGGTAGTTCTACTCTGTCCAAAAGGTCGCATGAGTTGGCGTGGCAGTGGATTTGGTTTTGGTTTAGGTCAATAATAGATGGAAGAAATTATAATCGAAATGATAGTTTCTTCCTAAAGAGACTTATTATGGAATTGACATCACACCTTTAAAAATGGTCCCAACAGTTTGATACATTCATTGCTTGTTGTTGTTAGTTGCTGTCAATTTTTAGATCACAGTGACCCCATATAACAGAGTAGGACTGCTCCATAGGGTTTTCTATGCTGTTGGTGTAGTGCCTAAGGCACTTGACTGCTTAACCAGCAGGCTGGGAGTTCAAACCCACCAGCCACTCCTCAGAAGGAAGGTTGGGCAGTCTACTTCCATAGTGATAACTGCCTCAGAAACCCAAGGAAGGGTCACTATGAGTTGGATCCACTCGAAGGCAGTGAGGTTTTTTTTTTTTTTTTGAATCTTTATGGTAGGACCTTTGGTGGCGCTGTGGTTCAAGCATTGGGCTGCTAACCAAAATGGGCTGCACTTAGAACCCACCAGCCACTCCTCAGGAGAAAGATAAGATAAGCCTGCTTCCATAAAGATTTACAGCCTTGGAAACCCTATGGGGCAGTTCTGCTGTGTCAGTAGGAGTCAAAATCAACTGGATGGCACTGGTGTTTTTTGTTTTATCTTTATGAGAGCAGATCTCCAGGTCTTTTTCCCACAGAGCCACTGGGTGGGTTCATACAATGGAATTGTTGGATAGCACCTGAATACTACTTCTTAATAAAACTATTAACCATTGCAACTAGTTTGATACTTTCATTCCTTAGAGTGATACTATTTCCAACATAGGAATTTTGAATGTATTACTTTAAAACACAGAATTTGAAGGGCAAACTCATAGTCTCGTAAGTCAACTTGTTATTGTGGTTGTTATCATTAGGTGTCGTTATGTCAGTTCTTAGTCATAGTGACCCTGTGCACAACAGAAGGAAACACTGCCCTGTTCTGCATCATCCTCACAATCATTGCTGTGCTTGAGCCCATTGTTGCAGCCACTGAGTCAATCCATCTAGTTCAAAGTCTTCCCCTTTTTTACTGACCCTCTATTTTACCAAGCATGATATCCTTCTCCAGGATCCTTCTGATAACATGACCAAAGTATGAGAGATGAAGTCTGGCCATTCTCACATCTAAAGAACATTCTGGCTGCACTTCTTCCAGGACAGATTTGTTCCTTTTTCTGGCAGTCCATGATGTTTTCAATATTCTCCGTCAGCACCACAATTCAAATGCATCAATTCTTCTTCAGTCTTCCTTATTCATTGTCCAGCTTTCACACACATATGAGGTGATTGAAAATACCATGGCTTGGGTCAGGCACACCTTAGTCTTTAAAGTGACATCTTTGTTCTTTAATTCTTTAATGAGATCTGTTGCAGCAGATTTGCCTGGTGCAGTGTTGCCTGATTTCTTGACTGCTGCTTCCAAAGGTGTTGATTGTGGTTCCAAGTAAAATGAAATCCTTGACAATGTCAAATCTTTTCTCCATTTATAATGATGTTGTTTATTGGTCCATTTGTGAGGATTTTTGTTTTCTTTCTGTAGAGGTGTAATTCATACTGAAGGCTATATAGCCTTTGATCTTCATCAGTAAGTGCTTCAAATCATCTTCACTTTCAGCAAGCAAGTTTGTGTCATCTGCATAGGGCAGGTTGTTAATGAGTCTTCCTCCTAGCATGCTGCTGCATTCTTCTTTTTCATATAGTCCAGCTTCTCAGATTATTTACTCAGCATGCAGATTGAATAAGTATGGTAAAAGGATACAACCCTGACACAATCTTTCCTGATTTTAAACCATGCAGTATTCCCTTGTTCTGTTCTAACAACTGCCTCTTGGTCTATGTACAGGTTCCTCATGAGCACAATTAAGTGTTCTGGAATTCCCATTCTTTGCAGTGTTATTCATAATTTGTTATGGGCCACGCAATCAAATGCCTTTGCATAGTCAATAAAACATGGTAAACATCTTTCTGATATTCTCTGCTTTTAGCCAAGATCCATGTGACATCAGCAATGATATCCCTCATTTCACAAACTCTTCTGAATCTGGCTTGAATTTCTGTCAGTTCACTGTCAATATACTGTGCTGCAACAGTTTTTTAATTATATTCAGCAAGACTACTTGTGTGTGCTAGTAATGATATTGTTCAATAATTTCAGCATTCTGTTGGGTCACCTTTCTTTGGAATGGGCTCAAATATGAATCTCTTCCAGTCAGTTGGCCAGATAGCTGTCTTCCCAATTCCTTGGCATAAACAAGTGAGTGCCATCCATTTGTTGAAACATCTCAATGAGTAGCCTGTCAATTCCTGGTGCCTTGTTTTTCACCAATTCCTTCAAACCCAAGTGCAGCTTGGACTTCTTCCTTCAATATCATCTGTTATTGGTCATATGCTACCTTCTGAAATTATTAAATGTTGACCAGTTGTTTTTGGGCTAGTGACTCTGTGTATTCCTTCCATCTTCTTTTGATGCTTCCTGCATTGTTCAATATTTTATCTATAGACTCCTTTGGTATTGCAACTCAAGGCTTGAATTTTTTCTCAATTCTTTCAATTTGAGAAATGCCAAGTATGTTCTTTCCTTTTGGTTTTCTAATTCCAGGTATTTGCATATTTCATTGTAATACTTTGTCTTCTTAAGATGCCCTTTGAAATCTTCTGTTCAGATCTTTTACATCATCATTTCTTCCATTTGCTTTAGCTTCTCTCCATTCAAGCACAAGTTTCAGACTCCTTTCTGACATCCATTTTTGGTCTTTTCTTCCTCTTCTGTCTTTTTAATGACCTTTTGCTTTCTTATGGATGATGTTCTTGATGCCATCCCACAACGCATCTGGTCTTCAGTCATTGGTGTTTGATGCATCAAATCTATTCTTCAGATGGTTTCTTAATTCAGATGGTGTATAATCAAGGTCATATTTTGGCTCTCATGAACTTGTTTTAATATTCATCAGCTTCAACTTGAACTTGCATATGAGGAATTGATGGTCTGTTCCACAGTCAGCTCCTGGTCTCGTTTTGACTGATGATATTGAGCTTCTCCATCACCTCTTTCCACAGATATAGTCTATTTGATTCCTGTGTATTCCATCTGGCAAGATAGTATTTGCAATGATTAAGTCATTGGTCTTGCAAAATTCTGTCATGAGGTCTCTGGCATAATTTTTTCACCAAGCCCATATTTTCCAATTCCTAGTGCTGCTTCTTTGTTTCCAACTTTCACATTCCAATCACCAGTAACTCTCAATATATCTTGATTGTGTGTTTGGTTAATTTCAGACTGCAGAAGTTGGTAAAAATCTTCAGTTTCTTCATTTCTGTCTTTAGTGGTTGGTGCATAAGTTTGAATAATAGTTGTATTAAGTGATCTTCCTTGTAGGCATATGAATATTATTCTATCACTGACAGCATTGTAGTTCAGGATAGATCTTGAAATATTCTTTTTGACAATGAATGCAATGTCATTACTCTTCAATTTGTGATTCCCAGCACAGTAGCTATATAATTGTCTGATTCAAAATGGCTAGTACCAGTCCATTTCAGCTCACTAATGCCAAGTATATTGACTGTTATGTGTTCCATTTCATTTTTTATCAATTCCAATTTTCCTAGATTCCTATTCCATACATTCCACATTCTGATTATAATTGAATGTTTGCAGCTGTTTCTTCTCTTTTTGAGTTGTGCCACATCAGCATATGAAGGTCCCAAAAGGTTTACTCCATCCACATCATTGAAGTTGACTTTACTTTGAGGAGGCCGCTCTTTCCCAGTCATATTTTAAGTGCCTTCCAACCTGAGGAACTCATCTTCCAGCACTATATGGGACAATGTTTCACTGCTATTTGTAAACCTATCCAGGAACATATCAGACATTGTTTCACTGCTATTCATAAGGTTTTCAGTGGCCAATTTTTTCAGAAGTAGATGGCCCCATCCTTCTTCCTAAAACAGAATGAGAGAAGGTAGAAGAGTAGCAAAGGGAAGGAGGCTAAGTCCCTGGTTGATCTTATGGCTTGACTACCTACCCTGGACAGTAGTGTGAGACAGATACCAATTTCACTTTATTTGGGTCACTTATCTTGGAGTACCTTTATTACAGCAATTTATACTGTAAAAATCCTCCCAGTTCACACAGTTATATATTAAATGAAGCTCGTATAACTCTTGACTTTGCATTGCAATTTTTCCATTGTAAGGATATAAGGATATTTTGGAAAATTCTAGTAGACTCTTGTTGCCTTTTAATGTACAATGTCATTTGGCCTTTTTAAGTTCCAGTCTAGAACAGAAGGTAAAATTATGCTGAGGAAAAGCTTTGTACCCTTCGTAATCCAGAGGGACAGAGAGAACTCAGCATGTGCCAATTAATCTGTTTATCACAGAAGGAAGTGGAAAGACAAATGACAAAGAATAGGAGAGTAGAACAGAGAAGTTAGAGAATTATGAGTTTTGGGAAGACACTCAACAGAGTAGTTAAAGGACTGCAACTACAAGGTCCCAAATTCACAAAGACCTTACTTCTTAGCTGCTAACGTATTCAAGCGTGATAACTCAGTTTCTGTTTCTCTGAACATCAGTCCCAGAGTCTGTATGATTTCAATGCATGCCCTAGAAAAAAAAGAAAAGCATGATGATTTCATTAGAAGCTCACAGTTCTATGGAATCCATAATCCTTGCTAAAATTGCATCTAGATAGCCATGCTGAAAAAATACAGAAAGGAATTCTATACATAAAAATACCAACTTTGGTGGAGTACCTACTCTGTGATTGCTGCTAGTAAGCACTCAGAAATATTTGTTGAATAAATGAATTGATAGCTGGATATTGGGATTAGAAGTCATTCTCAAATTTTTTGTACACATATTTCCTCAAAAATTTTTACGGTAATTACACTGTTTTTTATCTTTGAAAAATAATTTTAATTTCTTCAAATAAGTAACATATTCCTAAAGTTCAAAATTTCACAGGTGCAATAGGGAGTACAGTGAAAGGGGTCTCTCCCATATCTTTTCCTCCAGACATCCATATCTTCTCCATTAGGACAGTCAATATTACTAGTTTCTTGTGTATCCTTCCTTTAAAATTGGAGGAAAATAAATGCTGTATTTAAAAAATCTATGTGAAACAAATGGAAGGAAGGTTAGGCAATCTACTTCCGTAGTGATACTGCCTCGGAAACCCAAGGAGGGGTCGCTATGAGTCAGGTCTGACTTGACGGCACATAACAACAACAACATGTGAAACAAAACTTGTAACACCATTAATCATTAATGCAGTATATTTTTTTGTCCAATGCATTCCATTTATCTTTAACACTCGAAGGGAAGAAATATCTATAATTATCCGGTTAGTACTTACACCAGCTCATCAGCCCTTTGGCTTTTATTTTGAAGGGCGTTCTTATCCCTAGATTCTGGCAAGTATTCATGAAGTTTGTTCACTAGGAAATAGAAAAGGTCACTGGTCTGTGAAAGCAAGCAGGAAAGAGATGGTAATTAAGGTATTGGTTGTTAATACTCTCTATCCTTATATAATAAAAACATTAAGAAAAGATCTGTTCTTTGATTTGGGAGGCAGTGAATTACAATATCTCTCAATAATATTAGCATAATCCAAACTGAAAGCATTCTTTTACTTATAATCAGGAGACCACAATACCTAGAGCGTGATGCTGGGAGAGGCCTTTTAGGTCCTGTTCAGTCATTAATATTGGAGATCATTCAGAAGAACGTATATAATCTCAAGCAAGTTACCTTGGAATTACGTACTCAGTAGGGGCAATTCTAATTCCTGCCTTTCCAAAGTAATTTGTCCTTTGTGAGGATATATTGGAAATAATAGATAGAAAAGCTCTTGCATGAAGGGTGGATAAACCCCTGAAACTATTGCCCTGAGATAATCTTTAAACTCTAAATCAAAAATATCCTCTGAAGTATTCTTAAAACTGAACAACAGTTTATCTTAACTAGTGAAAAAAAAGGTCTACCTTGAGCATTTTAAGAACTATCTATATGAGACCAAATTGACAACAACAACTTGAAAGATTAGATAGGACCCTTAAGGGGCAGTGAGTTTATGTTAGTGAAGGAGGAGCAACTCAGAAAAGGAGGGTGAGAATGGTCCCACAACTGGGAGAATGTACTCAGTGTTGCTAAATGGTACATGTAGAAACTGCTGAATTGGTTTATATTTTGCTGTGTATATTCTCAGCAACAACAACAAATAAAATTTAAAGGAAAAATATTTACTAGTACAAAAATAAATATGTGGTAGTTCAGTTTGTGTGTCATTTTGGCTGGGCCTGGTTGAGTGGCTGGGCAGCTGGATGTAGTATTCCCCATGAGGAGACTGGTCATCAACTCCATGGTGGAATCTACTGTGAGCAGCTGAATAGCTGCCTTAGGGAATATGGTCTGCTTCCTGTATATAAGCAGAAGCCTTGGGGAATGGTCTGTAGTTTATGGCATGCTTGAACCCTGCATGTAGCCATGTTGTTCTTCAGTAGCCTGCCATGCTCTGCTGACTTTGTGACTTACAATGGACTTGAATGAATGGCCAGCTCTGTGGTTTGGTAACATTGGGACTGTGCCTTTTTACTTGTCAGCCTTGGGCTTGGCAGCCTCAGCAGCCAGCAGCTGTCTGAGTGAAGAAAAGCCTCTAGCTTTGGTGGGCCAGGAGCTGGAGGCAGAGCTGAAGCCCAAGGCTGAGGGGCTTTCACCCAACCCCTAGAGCCTGGCACTTTGAATTTGGATTTAAAGCCTCCAAACTGTAAGAGAATAAACTCCTGTTTGTTAAGGCCATCCCCATTTGTGGCATATTCTTGTCAGAGCGGTACTTGGTAACCAGAACAAAATATATAGCCTATGGAAATGATACAGAATAATATTGATACCTCTGTCAATATCTCACTGCTGTCAAGTCGAATCTGACTCACAGTGACCCCTCTTTGGGTTTCTGAGGAAATATCACTATGGAAGTATATTGCCCAATCTTCCTTCTGAGGAGTGGCTGGTGGGTTTGAAACACTAGCCTTCTGGTTAGCAATCAAATATCTTAGGCACTACACCACCAGAGCTCCCTCTGTTAATACAGTGGAATGTAATTGCCATTTCTGCCAAAATAAACACTGACTTAGAATGGAGGAAGCAATTTTTTCTGTTCCTATCCAGCCTCATGAGATAAATTAACCATGAAAATAAGCACTGGCCCATGAAACCAGGCAAGTTGGTACTAATGAGAAATGAAATGTAATTGCTTATCTCTTCTAGTCTGCTTTGTTCACATATTTCCCAGAACTTTTGTTTACTATGGAAAACTTAAGACACTTATTTAGACAAGTACATGTATGTCCTTATTTAGGTGATATGGCAGAGGTAGAGGGGATGGCTGGTGGTGAGAGGGAAGAGAGGACGAGGAGCAGGATATATACAATGGTGCACACCTAGCACTCTCAGAAGTGCTTGGGCTCTATTGCTCACTCCCTCACTGCTGTCAAGTCAATTCTGACCTCCTTGGTTTTCCATGGTGGTGTCTCTATGGAAGTAGATTGCCCAGTCTTCCATCTGAGGAATGGCTGGTGGGTTTGAACTGCCAGACTTCTGGTTAGTAGTCAAATGCCTTAGGCACTATGCCACCAGGGCTCAATTACTACCCTGATAAATTAGCATAGTGTGGTGGTTTTACACACTGACGCTACGGCCATGCTCTCTGAGTTCAAATCCCAGCTCTGTCACTAGTGAGTTGTATGACACTTGGCAAATTACTTATGCTCTGTAACTCAATTTCTTTATCTCCAATAAAAAAAAAAAAAAACCTCACTGCCATTGAGTCAATTCCGACTCATTGCTACCCGGTTTGGGTTTCTGAGGCAGTAAATCTTTATGGAAGCAGATTGCCCAGTCTTCCTTCCATGGAGTGGCTGGTGCTAACCTTCTGGTTAGCAATCAAATGCCTTAGGCACTACGCCACCAGAGCTCCTTAATAATATCACCTCATGGGGTTGATGTTAGGATTAAATAAGATAGTAACTATAAAGAACTTGGACAGTGCTTAGCACATCAAATGTGCTTAATAAATATCAACTATTATTATCTCCCACCTGCTCCATACAAAAAACCAACTCACTGCCATTGAGTCGGATCTGACTCATAGCGACCCCTCCTTGGGTTTCCAAGGCAGTATCACTACGGAAGTAGATTGCCCAATCTTCCTTCCAAGACCTGCTCCATAGTTTAGGAATTTTCACTCTTAAAAATATCATCCACCTATCTGCAACACATAAAAGAAACTCAAAAATATTATGCTGAAAGAAGCCAGGCATACTGTATAATTCCATGTGCAGGGAATCCTCCAAAAAAAAAGCAAACTCACTGCCATGGAGTTGATTCTAACTTATAGCAACCCCCTTTGGGTTTCTGAGATAGCAAATCTTTATGGAAGTAGATTGCCCAGTCTGTCTTCCGTGGAGTGGTTGGTGGGTCTGAACTGCTAACCTTCTGGTTAGCAAATGCCTTAGGCACTATACCACCAGAGCTCCTTGAAGGGAATCTTAAAACAGGCAAAACTAATCTAAAGTGACAAAAGCTTGTCAATAATTGCCTGAAGTCAGGGTGGGAAAGGACCAATGGCCAACGAACATAAGGTTGCTTGGAGGTGACAGAAATGTTCTGAATTTTGATTGAGATGATGGTTACATGATTAAATATATTTGTCAGAAATCTTCAGACTGCATCCTTCTCAATGGATACATTTTATTATATGTAAACTAAACCTTAACAAAGTTAATTTTAAAATGGAACATGTATATACACACAATTAATTTATTGTTTCCATGCTCTTATTCAGGAACCAAAATATTGAGATGGCTTTTATCTCCCCATCGCAGTGAGGATGGATTACTTAGAGGGCTTCATAAAAACTTATGTTCTCCAGGGAACTCAGCGAAAAGCTGGGAAACAGCATATTGCTTTAGCTTAAAGCTGCATTAACAATTTCAGTACAAAAGCTCCCAAAAGAAAGTAAAAATTTTGACTTCTATTAGTCATCTATTCTAGCTTAAGGAGCTCTGGTGGCATAGTACTTAAGGCATTTGACTGCTAACCAGAAGGCTCAGTTCAAACCCACCCGCCATTCCTCAGAAGGAAGACTGGGCAATCTACTTCCATAGAGATACTACCTCGGAAGACCAAGGAGAGGTGGCTTTGAGTCAGAACTGACTCAACAGCAGTGAGTTTGGTTTTGAGTCTGTTCTAACTTTGTGTAAATGAAGAATATGAAAATGGATTTTGGTTATGGATTAGAGAGGGGACATAAAACTACCAGGTCTTGATGGGATGATGGGGGAAAGAGAAGCATGCAGTACATGTAGAAGGACCTCAAATAGTGACACTAACTGTGTACCTTTTATTTCCCTGCTCTATAGACTCTGGCCTTTCAATTTTAACAACTGAATTTTCAGGTCCTCTAGTGTAGTTCACTTAACGACATTACATTAAAGAATTCTGCATTGTTGGAAACCTTAGGGAGGCAATTCTTCTCTATCCTATAGGGTAAGTATGAATCAGAATTTGACTCAATGGCAATGGGATTTTGGGCAGTGTTTTCGAGTATGAAACAGAAAAGGAATGTTTTATTCCTAGACCTCTGATCAGGTTAATTTTTTTACAATAGGATAATTTCCCAATTCAATATGAATTGATTAGGGAATTTGGTATGTACATGGCATTGTGTTAGGCATAAGGGAGAATACAAAGATGCCTGTCCTGAAGATATATGTAGTATATTATAATAAATAAGGCAAATATACCAATAGCTATAGTAAAAGGGAGAATATCCATGCTAATTTCTGAGGGTAAGGACTGTATCTTATCCATGTTTGCATTTCTATTGCCTGTTACTATCAGGAGCTCTGGTGGCATAGTGCCTAAGGCATTTGACTGCTAACCAGGAGGCTGGTGGTTCAAACCCACCAGCCACTCCTCAGAACGAAGGTTGGGCAATCTACTCCTGTAGTGATACTGCCTCAGAAGCCCAAGGAGGGGTCACTATGAGTTGGATCTGACTTGATGGTAGTTTTTTTTTTTTTTTTTTAATTACCACGCCTGACCCAGAATATTGTTATTTGCCATAAAGTCTGCTTTGATGACCCCATGTATAACTGAAAGAAACATTGCCTAGTCCTGTGCCATCTGGCACAGAATGTTGTTGTTGTTTCGTGCCATCGAATCAGCCCCAACACATAGCAACCCCTTCTTGGGTTGCCACGGCAGTATCACTGTGGAAGTAGATTGCCCCATCTTCCTTCCGAGGAATGGCTGATGGGTTTGAACTGCCAGCCTGCTGGTTAGCAGTCAAGTGCCTTAGGCACCATGCTACCAGAGCTCCTCTGGCACAGAATAGGCATGCAATAAATGGTTGCTGGATTGTTAATGAGGAAGTGCTATGAGAAATACCATGGAACTGGACTATCTAATACAATAGTGACTAGGAATGTATGGCCTTTAAATTTAAATTAAAATAGAATAAAATTAAAATGTCCAGTTCCTTAGTCACACTTGCCACATTTAAGTGCTTAATAGCCACATGTGGCTAGTGGCTACTGTATTGAACAGTACATATTATAAAACACTGCAGAAAATGTTATTGCAGAGAACTGCCATAGAGGGTCAAAAGGAGGAAAGGCCCAAAGTTCCCCATTGAGGATGGCAGGAAGGGCAGGAGAATGGCATTTGAGTTGAGCCTTGAAAAATGGGTAGGATTTTAACAGGTGAAAATGGTGGAAATGTATCCTAGGGAAAGAAAACAGCAAGGAGAAATGTGGAGAGGCTAGAGAAGAAAGGGTGTTGAAGCTATCCTACATGGCTGGAGCTTTCAGAAGAAAGGAGTGAGGGAGCAGTAAAGTGGTAAGGCAGGTGTGCTAGGCCTAACCTGTTCCCGTTCTCTGCATTCTTTGCTCCACAGCTGAGGCCACCTACTTCAGGACTGTTTTAAAGCTAAAGATCAATAAATGGCCCCAGACAACACTTTGGAGTTCAAAATCAGCACTCTTCTAATCTGACCCTAAGGTGGTACACTTCAGTTTTCTTATCTAGATACTTACCTGCTTTAAGTCCATCCTATGTTTGTGCTCAGTTGTCTAACTGGACTTCTTTGTGCTCCAAGTCCTTTTCCTGTATGTTCCTATGTATTGGCCATACTCTTGATAACCTCTATGTCCTCACTACATCCAGCCCCACATTCCTGACCTTAAACGAGCAGATCCCCCTGGTGCTAAATGTCTGTGCAGATATCTGCATGCAATCCACCCCTGTGCAGAGATATGCTGATACTTCATTTTGCACACTTTATAGGGATGGCTTTCATTTCATGCCTTTTCCATGAGCGTCTGGATTCCTTCTTGATGTCTTCCCTGCCCAGATGTTGGCCCTTTCTGTTAACCCCATCCTGCTAAAATAAAGGACATGCCTGTCCTACTTTGGAATCTGTGGCAAGGTAATAAGTGAAGAGCTTAAATGACAAAGCCAAAATGTTTGCACTAAATTTAATAGGTAGAGCCACAGAGGTTTTGAGCAAGCAAGTTACACAATTAGGGTTATAGATTAAGCTGATACCATGTGTGGCACAGATTGGAGAGGTTTATTTGGGTGAGAGATACCCCAATTTCTTTGGCCTTTCTACCTGAACTCCCTCAGTCCTGGGCAAACTAGGACTAGTCACTCTAGTCCTGGGCAAACCCTGCATTTAAAGTATCTAAACTCAAAAAGGGAGCTCTGGTAGCATAGTGGCTAAGACACTTGCCTGCTAACCAGATGGCTGGCAGTTCAAACCCACCAGCCACTCCTCAGAAGGAAGGTTGGGCAATCCTACTTCCATAGTGATACTGCCTCAGAAACCCAAGGAGGGGTCGCT